CTTGGATACTGAACTGCCATGGGCTACAGCTGTGCAGGGGTCTTAGGTTATCTCCAGGCATAGTCCTTGGTTGGAATAGCAGTCTCAGGAAAAACCCCTGTGCTCAGATTTTTTTGGTTCTGTTGTTCTCCTTATGGAGTTTTTGTCCTCTCCAGATTTTACTGTTTCCCACTTCTTTCTTAAGATTCCCTGCACTCTGCCCAAAGGTTGCCCATAAGTCTCAGCATCTACATTGATAGTCTGCAGGGCAGAGCTTTTCAGAGGTCCTCTGTGTCAGGCTCCTAACTTGTTCCCTCTTTTCTCCTTCTTCTGATGTCCAGCCTCTTTGCCTTTCTGGATAGGAATTGAGCATTTTAGCAAGAGTCCTCCCTCTTGATTAGTTTCTTTAGGTGTACAGATTTTAGTAGGTTTATCCTATATTATATGTCTATATGAGTGAGTATATACCATGTGCATCTTTCTGCTTCTGGGATAGCTCACTCAGGATGATCTTTTCCAGATCCCACCATTTACCTGCAAATTTCATGATTTCCTTGTTTTTTTATTGCTGAGTAATATTCCATTGTGTAGATATACCACAATTTGCATCCATTCCTCCACTGAGGGGCATCTGGGCTGTTTCCAGCTTCTGGCTATTACAAATAAGGCTGCTACAAACATGGTTGAGCAAATGTCCTTATTGTGTACTTGAGAATCTTTTGTATATATGCCTAGGAGTGGTATAGCTGGATAATAAGATTTTTTTTTATTTATATGATATGAAAAAATGTCCCTACAGTGATTATATTACTTGTTGTTTGTTTTGTTTTGTTTTCTCTAAGGCTGTTGTAGTGGATTGAGAACAGTCGCCCCTTCCCCAAATATAGGCCTTTATATTGGCCTGCTTAGTCTCAAGCTGAACTGTTTGGAAGATTGAGGAGGTGTGGACTTGCTGAAGGAGGCATGCCACAGGGAGTAGGAGTTGAAGTTCCCAAAGGCCAGTCTCTAACCGGTCTCTGTCCCTGCATGCTGTCTGTGGTTCTGGAAGCAAAGATCTTTTTTTTTTTCTTTTTTTTTTTAATTTTATTTTTTCTTATCAGTTACATTTTATTAACTCTGTATCCCAGCCGTGTCCCGATCCCTCATTCCCTCCCAGTCCCTCCCTCCCTCCCTCATCTCCACCATGCCCCTTGCCAAGTCCACTGATAGGGGGAACCTCCTCCCCATTCATCCGATCCTGTTTTATCAGGTATCTTCAGGACTGGCTGCAAAGCTCTCCTCTGTGGCCTAACAGGACTGCTCCTCCCTTGGGGGGTGGGGAGGCCAAAGAGCCAGTCATTGAGTTCCTGTTATAAATAGTCCTTGTTCCCCTCACTATGGGAAACCAATTGGTTACTGAGTTACCACAGGCTACATCTAGGCAGAGGTTCTAGGTTACATTCATACATGGTCTTTGGTTGCATGTCAGTCTCAGAAAAGACCCTGTGCCCAGATATGTTTGGTCCTTGTGGAGCTCCTATCCTTTCCTCATCAGACTAACTCCCCTTCTTTCTTATGATTCCCTGTACTCTGCCAAAGGTTTGGTCATGAGTCTTGGAAGCAAAGATCTTAGCTACTTCTTCAGCTCCATGCCTGCCTGCCCTGGCGACAGGCTACCTTCCATGATGTTAACGAAGCAAAGCCCCAATTAAGTGCTTTCTTTTATAAGAGTTGCTTTGGTCACAGTGTTTCCTCACAACAATAGAACATTGACCAAGACAGCTAAATAGAATAAAGGGGTCATTTATAGGAACTTGTGATGAATCATCTAATTTATCGGGTATAGGCCCCTTATCTAAATCGGTCTGTCTTCACATCTGTTTCAGGAATTTCTGCCACATAATTCAGACAATATTACCACAAAAAAATGTATTTTTTTACCGAAATGCACATTAAAAGAACACCTCTGATTATTTAAATGGCATTGTCTTCAATTTCATTTAATGATAATGTAATTGAAATCCAAAGAGGACACACTATAATTTTACCATTTAACAATATACTAGATATTAAATTTGGTTATCTTCAGTGCAGTGCATCATTAAAAGCAAATCTTCCACCTTATATAATTGTAGGTCAATTCCTCATGTTCTTCCTCACCTCAGAGTCTGGTAATCTTCTAGCTCTCTGGTTCTGTGCCACCATCACTTTCAGATTCCATATGAAAGTAAATGCACCCTTTATCTTCCATGTCTGTGCATTTTATTTACCATCATATACTCAATTCCACTGTGTTGGCTTCAAATGATTGAAATGACTTCTGTGTATACTTTTAAATTAAATTTATTTTAACTGCTGCTTCACATTGCAATATTATGCATGTTAATGTTACCATATGTTTAAAAAATGTTATGCTTAGCTACATATGTGCATTTATACATACAGAGTTCGTTTAGTGTTGATTGTGTATGGGTTTAAGTTTAGCTATTTAGGATTGAATAACCTACTAAAGTTCTTAGCCATGAAGAAAGCTAATTCTCTTAGCAGTCATCAGGTGGCCATAGTTCTTCATCTCAACGTAGGGCCTCATGAGATTTTCTCACTGATGTTGTCATATCAATTGGTGATGTCACTGTAGGGTTTTTGTTTAGAACTGTGCTGTTAAGATATCATGAGTTCAAATACTTATCATAGACACAGTCTCAGAGCACACATTCTCTTCTTCTGGATCATAAAATAGCTCTGTCCTCTCTTCTGTAATTTTCTCCAAGCCTCAGGCTTAGAGGTTATGTTGTTGATGTTTCAATTTGGAATGGACTCCCAAATTCAGTTGCTCTGTGCATTTTGTCAATATCTGTGGTGGTTATTGCTGCAAAAACAAACTTCTTTGATGCTGCAGGGAGAGATATACTTATTTCTTTATGTTAAGGGTAGGTCTTCAGAATATAGTTTAGAATTATAGTGGTCTAGGAAAATGGCAATAGTAAGTTTCCTTCTAGGTTCCATGACTTCATCATCTGCTATGAGCAACTGGCTAGGTTTATACACCCAGGCCTGAATTCCCTACAACTGCACAGACCTTAAATCTAAAATAAATGCATAATATATAAGCATGTGTGTATACATATATAAATAATTTAGATGAAGTTATAACACTTGCAGTAAGTTTTAGAGTATCAAACTTTATAGTGCCAGGTATGATAAATTTCATTTTGAGTAATTAAAAAAATGCAAGAGAATGTTACTGAAGAATAGGCTATTGTCCTCACCTTGGGGCTCTTCCAAAGGTTGAATGTAAGATGCTATTGCTTAACACAAGTTTCAGACACAATATTTAGAGAAATTGAGATGGAGCTGACCTGGATCCCTCTCTCTGAGGATTACCTCTCATAGAATCTGAAGGTCCATATGCCAATTGAGAAAAGTAATCAACCATCCAAACTAGCTGTGAAGTTCATGTACACAAAATGACCAATATGCCAAGATATGCCCAATCGTGCAATAATGGCACTTATATCTTGTGTGTAATCAACACCTGTCTAATTGTATACCAGACTTTCTTAATCTTATCAGACTCTAAATTAACACCTCACTGGTTAACCTCTGCATACATGGCTCTCAAACCTTCACTCCAGAGTCTCTGGGAATCACCATTTTGCACTTAGAATCTGCTGAGAGTAAACTTTTTCATAATGCACATGTGGGTGAGATCATTCAGAACTTGCTTTCCTGAGTCTGGCTTATAACCTGTAACATACTGATCTCCACTTTTATCCATAGTCTCTCAAGAATAGCATCTTATCATTTTAATGGTTAATATTTAACTGTGGCTATTCTATAGTCCTTTATCAGTATATTCTTTTACTTCTAGGGTTTTGTGAGCAGCATGGTGTTCATGTCTTCCAAGTATACTGACTATATCTTCTTTATCTATATTAATCAGTTGGAATGTCAGATCATATGGTAACATTTCTAACATTTTGGCGAATCTGTATTGGTTTCCATAACTGATGTATTAATTTTCATTTCCTCTGTGTTTATTTTAGTATTACCATGTCCAGATACCTTCCTTGCAGAACAATGTATGGGAGTTATGGAGACTCACCTCTTCATAGGGTTGCAAATCTGACATCAAAGGGAAACAGCAGAGTGGATCTACCCATGGTGTTAGGAGAATGAGATGGTAAGAATTAACATTGTGGAAGATAAAAAACAATCCGGAGAGCAGGCGCCACACTATTGCTGACCTATTGCCTTCAAGGGTATAACTTGAGGTAGGCCCCACTTATTAAATTTTACACAACCTCCTAAAAGAGTTTATCATCTGGTACTAAAGACATGATCTCATGAGAGTCATTTCAAATCAAAACATTTAATGTCAGTGCACAAAGGAACCCACAGCCAGAAACATCTAAATGCATGTTGTCTTCTGCCTTCTTAAAAGATCTTAGACCATTTGGCATAGACTTGAGAGCCTACCACTTACGGAAATCAATTTATATTTTGCATCTGGAATTTAATTACTAAATATCTACACTTGGACACAATGCAGCTTTCCTTTAGTTCTTAAGTAAGAAAACTATCTCAGGCATATAAGAGTTTTATCTAATTCACAACTTACTTAGCAGAACTTCAAAACCTTTATCCCTAAGTATGATGTTCATTTAACATTAATCAATGTAATGTTTCACAATGGCAAAAGTGTATACAGGAAAAAGAAAAAAAAACACAAATTAGGCATACTGGATATCAAATTAGTACATTCATTATCTTAAAATTTTAGTATTCATAAATTTGAAAAGAAAAAGCACTATAAATTTCATTTGCAATGCAGACTTTATTTTTGGGTTAATAGATTGATTACAGAGTTCTCCAAGGACACCCATCAGCCAGTATCTGGGGTCAGAGAGAGAGAGAAAGTGAGGAATTCGCAATCAGGGAATGAGAAGATAATTCTTCCTGGTCACTAAAGGAAGACACAAAAGGCCAGGAATCCAGGACTGGGTGGCGGTGGTCGGCAAGTTCCGGAATTAGACAGAAGATCAATAGAATCCTGATCCTGTGCCATAGCTTGGTCTATAGCAAGAAGACTGGCAGATTCTAGAGGGCACATAGGATTGGTGGCAGAATCCAGATCCGTACGAAGAGAAGCGTTGGGGTCTAAAGCTGCTGGACCCACAGCTCAGTGAGTAAGAGCTTCTAGACCCATAGTCCAGAGACTGGCAGCTGCTGGATCCAAAGCCCTGAGAGCCAGCATATGTCCTGCAGGGACTGTAGAAGCCGGAGACCCTGGGGCTGAAACAGGGCCGCTGGCAGGAACTGTGCACCACCTGGGAAGTCTGGCATCTGATGGGCTGGTAGCAGTTCTGATGACAGCCGCTGTGGAGAGAGGAGCCCAGGTGGCAGGGTCTGGGAGAGCAGAAGTTAGTGCTATGGATGAAGTGGCTGGGATAGGAAGAGCCGCAGGAGGAGCGAGGGTAGTTCAGGTGATCTCCACAAGAGCGGGAGGAGAAGTTTCCAGAATAGCAGGACATGTTGAAAGCAGGTGCAAGTTGAGCTGTGTGTAACAGAAGATTCTGAGTTTGAGAATCACTCTTCAGAGACCTTTATATAGTCTTAGCAATGGGTGTGGCCTCTTGCAGGATCATTGTTTCTGTAGATGGACTCCCTCATCTGAATGTCTGGACATCAGTAATTTTCTCTATAATTGCAGTTAACTAACCCCTTTTATCTTACTTTCAAGGGAGAACTCATTTTGTTTTTATATGTCTGAGTCAATGAAATGCATTTATGTTACAAATGCTATGACTGTATTTAATTAGTGCCGCTGCCATTTATGGTCAGGAAATCCCCCTTATTTTTTTTTTCTCTGTCTATGACTTGTGTGTGCTCTTGTTTAGCGAGGGGAATTACTCTTAAGTATGACAAAGTCATTATCCTCAATTGGTCATCAAGGCAGAATCTTGCATTGACAAGCAGCCTTTTCAAGATGGCCCCAATGTCAAGTCACTGGTTCACACTCTGTAGTATAATGTTAAATTTCCTATACACTATTACCAATGGCTAGTATAAGAGTATATAAAACTCAGTATAGGAGTTATATAAAAGCAAAGTCAGAAGAATTGGGACATTGTATAAAATCATTCTTGTCCTGAACAAATGTGCAGAAAAGTTTATTAATGAATTTATTTTTTCTTTATTTAGAATAATGAAATAAAAATTATATGGGGCCCATTGAATGAAGCAAACAGCAGAAATGACATTTAGTGTACAAAGTTCAGTGGCATCAGGAGGAATGGTATTGTGGATATAATTTTGATTTAACCTATTGATAGATATTCTCCTCTTAATTTAAGTTCTTCTGGAGTATGCTTCCCAACTCATATCACTAAACATCAATTCAGATTGATGGATAGTTTCAGAGCTCATCCAAACTCAGTCTACCTGTCCCTGTCTTGCTGCAGCTTTCTTTTCAGAGGTAGAGCCAGATTTTGCAAATATTGAAGAGGATACTTTTGGGAGTTGTCATTGTCAGAATAATAAATCACAATAAGCATTCATCTAAGTCTGACTATTAATTTAGAATAAAAATAATAGTAAAATCCCTAAACTTCTGAAGTTCAAAAATAAAAAACAAACAAACAACTATAACAAAATCAAGATAATGTGATTTCTCCATTTTCACCACGAACAATGTATCCATTACCCGAATGAATGATTACCACTACATGAAGTTCTCCACATGCTTTTCTACAGAAAGAATGAAAATATTTTCCTTTACGAACTATATAAAGGAAAATACTGAAAGTATTTGACATAAGAGAAGTAATTGCTTCCAATATCACTATTTGATGATAGGAATGTCCCAGCTTTGAGCTTTCCCTTGTTCTCAGTTGGTGCTTCAAGCCAAGGACCATGCTCCTAACAGTATGATATCCCTCTTGACAT